TGTTAACCAAACACGGCAAATTTACACATCTTTAATTTTCCACCTTAGGCTAGAAGGAAGAGAGGAGACAACGAAATGAGAATCAGAGTGGTGGGGATTTGGATCTGCATGAGGAGCCTCACAGAGGAGAGGAGGGGACAGAGACAGTGCGTGAGGCTTAGGGAAAAAAGCGGGAACTGTGAAAGAGCGGGGGCTGATGGAGACAGAATCACGGGGCCACTGTGACTACGGCTCTGGGATTCTGGGGAGGAAACTCTAAGGGAGTTCTGGGTGATGGACCAAGTGGTGGAGGATGTCGAGCTTGTCTGCATCACTTGGAAATGGCACAAGGAGGCCTCAGTTGCTCAGCCATCTCCTGCCACTCACAATGATGTCAAAGGATTTCTTTCCCTGCGCAACTGGTCTCCCTCCTGCTCCATTGCCTTTCAGGCTTCCTTAGTCTTCATTAACCCAAGGCACAGGGAACCTTCAAACAATCCAGCCGCCCCTTAGCCTCTCCTGCCTGCCTAGGCTCCACCCCTACATTTTCCTTCTGCAAGCTCATTTGCACTCCCTGCAGTTTTTGTTTTTAAAGATTTATTTATATGTGTGTGAGTGATTTGCACATGTGTATGTTTCTGTGTGTGTGTGTGTGTGTGTGTGTGTGTGTAGCATGTGCATACCTGGTGCCCATAGAGGCCAGGAGAGTGTTGGATCTTCTGGAATTGGAGTTATGGATGGTGGTGAATTGCCATGAGGACCGTGGGAATTGAACCCAGGTCCTCTGCAACAGTGGTAAATGATATTAACTGCTATGGCATCTCTCTAGTCCCTATTTCCTGGAGTTTATATATGTGGAATCATGCCGGGTGAACTTGAATGGAATGGCTTCTGTCACCCATCCTCATGTCTTTGAGATATAACCCTGGGCTTGTCACTTGTTGCTATGCCGAGTTTTGTTCATGTGTGTTTGTATATATATTTCATACACACACACACACACACACACACACACACACATGTTTTATTGAGGCGTAATTCGCCACACCTTACGTGAAGGTCAGGAATACAGAACCCAGAGAAGGATGACATCTGACCAATAAGAAGTAAGAACAGGAAAGGAACATGCCTGTGCCCCTAACAAAGGCAATTTACTGTGGTCGGAAAGAATGTGACTTCATTCACACGTCCCCACAGTGACCAAAGAGAAGTCTGCCTGCTCCCATCTACCCCAGACCCTAGCCACCAGGAAACTGAGGCTGTTCACAGAGTCACAACTTCTGGGGGGACATGGAAAGCTTCCCTGTGGCCCTTTCTGCTCTAAACGCTTGGAGGAGTCAGAGGTCGCAGAGACCCACCGCATGGTTCATCAGGGCAAAAGCGTGTTTTCCTGAGCCTGCTCAGAGGCAAGGAGACAAGGGACCCTATGGGGCTATGTAAATAGGACAGATGGCAGGCTTTCTCTTCTGCTAGAAGCCATCTAAGGAAAACCTCTGTGCCGATTAGAAGATAACTTTCAAGATTGCTGATCCAGGAAAAACAAAAGCAAACCAGAAAAGGGAGTTGGAGAAAAGTGTCCGTGAGACAACTCAGAGATGATAGCATTGTATCCTAGCCAGCAACCGTGTGGACCCGTGTGGGAGAGACCCAGATAGAGCCCACAGACCAAACTCTGTGACTCCGGCCTCCACAGTCACTCCTCCCCGTGTTGACAAGGGAGGCTTTCTAGCCATTCGCGGCCACTGGGCTCACTTCTATCAGCACTCCACCCTGAGGAGAATCTTAAACTGTCCTTGATGTCGCTGGACTCTGGAAGCAGCAAGGAATCCTGAGACTTGGAGACTAAACTCTTGTTGAAGTGTTTTGGGGTGTGTGTGTGTGTGTGTGTGTGTGTGTGCGTGTGTGCGTGCGTGCATGCCATGTTTGTGAGGATGCCCACAAAGAGTGTGTCAGATCCCCTGGAACTGGAGTTGTAACTGTAGGTAGTTGTGAGCCACTCAGCGTGGGTGCTGGGAACCAAACCCAGGTCCTCTGGAAAAGGAGGAAGTTAGAGTGCTTGCTAAGCCATCTCTCCATCTTGGTGGCCTCAGCAACACCATCCCCCAGTACCATCCCCCTTTAAGCCCTCACTGCCCCGAGTGCCACTGCCGATTGGCAGCAGTGGCACCTCAGAATTTGTCCAAAAAGTAAATTCCCTGACACTCCCCCCCCACCAGCTTCTTACTGAGCTGGAATATGAAGGTTGACAAGGTCCCCGTGGTCTGTATGTGCATTTCACAAGCTCTAAGCTGGGCCAGTGGCTTTTCAGCTCTGGTGGCTTAGGGTACACACTTGGCTGCCTAAGTCGAGAGATGAAGAGACTCCCTTCACGCTGCTGAAAGTAAGAGAGACCTGCACCTTCCCACCTGGTCCAAGATGGGAATGCAGGGGCTGGAGAGATGGCTCAGTGGTTAAGAGCTCTGGCTGCTCTTCCACAGGTCCTGAGTTCGATTCCCAGCAACCACATGGTGGCTGACAACCATCTATAATGAGATCTGGTGCCCTCCTCTGGCGTGCGGGCATACATAGAGGCAGAATGTTGTATACATAATTAATAAATAAATAAATAAATAAATAAATAAATAAGGGAATGCAGGACAGCTAAGTTTGGGACTGGGGCTGTGCCCCCTTTTGGGGAGGAGTTATAACAGTCCCTCTCTCTCCCGTAGAGCTGTGAACAAGGGCTTCCTGTGTATTTCCCTATCTCTAAAATACGCGATGCCGCTATTTGAGGTGGTGCATGCTCGTAGGGTTTGCTGAAGGAGGCGAAGGCAAGAAGATCACAAGTTGGAGGTCAGCCTGGACTACACACTTAAAAAGAAATGAATAAATAAATAATAAAGTAAGCAATGCGTTTGTGCCCCCCCCCCCACGGAGTCACCTAAGGGCACAGAGACCACACAGAAGCACGATCACTCTCAAATAAGACCAGCTGTCACTCCAGGGAGAAGAGATGAATTTTGACAGTTCGTTGGGAAGGGAGGAGCTAAGCTCTGTTGTCATCAAGAGAATGCAAACTAGAAGTGCATGTCCTACATAAGCCACAAACCAGAAATAATAGCTGTCATTCCGGAGTATGTCTGATGTCCAAGATCTGGGATAAATGGATAATTTCAGTCCTACCATGAGGGTAATGTCACTGATGACTTCATTATGTATTCTAATCCCAGGCCACAAAGGCAGCTTGGAATCTCTGTCTGAATTCTCAGCCACACGCCATATGTGACACGTTACAGAAGAGCTTTCAGTGGTGTTGCAAGAGTCAGTTCTTGCTTATATGACAGAAATTTCATCTGTCTGTGTGTGTGTGTGTG